AAAGGAACTTTCAGTTAGATGCAGCTTGACTTCCAAATCGTTTCTGACAGCATAGTTTTATATTTGAACCCTTCAATCGTTTATACCGTGCTGGAGTAGGTTGTGGGAAGACCTCGGCTCGACCTCGGGCCGGGCATTGATGAGCCAATCAGAAGTCGAATAAAGATCGTCCTACTGTAAAATATTTTTTGCACATATAATACTGCACAAGATGCTATGTCTACCGGCTTCAAAATGTTGCCCTAGGCTGTCCCATCAAGTTTTGGTACAATTTAACTAGCTTCAGTGCATTTTTCAGATGCCTAATCCGCGATGCACGAATGAGCATGAAGTTGAACTATATTCTGTGGTTGAATCTTGGGCAAATCACTGAAAACACACATATTTGGTATTAGAATATTTTCTTTGAACTAAATGTCTCTGCCTTTGTTCTCACAAGCCTAGAATGTGCTTTGGTCACTCACTGATGGTTGTTTCAACAGTTGGAATAAAAATTCCGGGGGGAACTCCGGAAAATAGGAACTTTTGTCACTTGTCACCAGATGTGGTTAGATGTCGCTTCTTTCATGCTCCTTTAGTGAAGAAATTCTAAGCCTGTTGTTTGAAACACTAGGTGGCCGAGATCCAATTCATTACGAGGTTATCAAGTCCCATGAATTGCTGCGTCGGAGGTATCCGCCGATTCGGCAGAGGCCACCGCCGGACAGATCAAAACTGCAAAAATGGATTATTTGTTGTATACTCCATGGTTTCTACATTTCGGAGTGTATTTCGGCAGTTCCCATAGTCTAATCAGCTACTGTAAGTATCACTCAATTTTTTTTAAAAAAAAACAATGCACTCACCCTGTTGAGTATATCTACAGGAGCTCTGTTCGCTCTTTCGAACCGCACTGTCAGGAGCAAGGAAACACGCAAAATTGAGCCAGATGTCCGATTAACCTCTCAATAGTGATAATGTATACTTTAAATGAAATTTGTTTTGTGCCACGTTTGTTACCAAACCTCAACACAGCAATCGGTCTCTCACCATCGACGACCAGACCTGTTACCATCGTCAGCAACTGACTGAGACCGGGAAAAGCAGGCTCCCACAGTTCGCCGCTTCCACGTCGCACTTGACCGCTCCCGCGAGATACGGCGCCGGGTGAGGCTTCCCATGGGCAACGTTGCTTGTCAGCAGACAAGCAACAGCTGGCGCGAACGGATAGCATTTCGGAACGCGGATAGGGTCAAGCTCAGCCTTTTCTTCGTAACAAAGATGTGCCGCCCCAGGCATTTATATTTTAGTGGGTGCATGTCTTCAGGCCGACGTCGACGTGACAGGCACCAGGCTGTTGTGACAGCCTGGGAGTCGCCGTCAAAGCCAACGCGGATGCTGACGACAGCCCGTCCCCACCTTCCTAAACCCGGGCTGGGCTGGTGTGTGATATGAACTCAATGGCTACAATCTTCAGTCGGGCTGAGCGTGAACAGTTGTTGTACAAATACAAGGAAAATCCATATTGAATGAATTTGTGATATTTTGAGCCCACTGAGCTCCCCACCCGCATGCACCTCTGCAAACGGCGGCCATCCTAGTATTTATCAGGCACTTTGCTTCGACCACCAGACCCCTCCACAGCCCTTGCGCGAGGTGTGAAGAGCGAGGCATGAATTAGGTTCAAGTTGTGCCTGGAGGCATGTTATATAGGCCCATGCTGAGATCACTCGTCAGAAAAAAAAAAGAGCTCGAAAGACTTTCATACCATTAAATCAGTTATAGTTTATTTGATCGAGGACCAAACCATCGCCCAGGGGTTATGTGCGGTACCGGGCTTGAGAAGATCGATCACAGCCTCCGCCACTCCAGCACATTCACTGCATGCACACTTTATCCAGGCGGAGCAGCAGCTGGACAAGTGCGTGTCGACCTGAACCGGAAGCTGCGCTGAGCTCGCTTGTACAGAAACTGGACCTTGATGAAGCAAGGACTGCCAGGTACATCGGGTCTGTCATTTCATCGTCACCACTGAATCGCTTCTCTAGACGTACCAACCTGGCAGGAGTTTTTATCGAAGGTTTGTGCTTCAAAGAGCGTGAGCAACTAGCTCAGGACTGCTTCAGAAGCTCGAAGGTCTTCTCGCATCGGAATCGATGCTACCTTAATTTCTGCCAGTAAGCTGTTTTCTAAGAGTTGTTGTGGTCCCCACTAGTCCTACAGCGGATGCCGAGGCCCTCACGAAGCGCTCAAACCGAAAAGGCTCTGAGCTCGTCTCCCTGAGCAACAACCCAGTCAACTCCGTCTGGGCCGAGACACGCCCTGACGCTGGCGTGAAGCTTATGCGCGTATTCTTTGCCGGTTGAGAGTGTACTTATTCAATGAAGCCTGCGAAGTGAAATCTACAGTGTGATTAATGAAAACATCCTTGGCAAATGGTATGAGCTGAGGGTTGATAGGACTTCTTCATTTTGCTTCAACCTCACAGAAATGAAGGGTCGCAAGGCTGAAACTTAAAGGAATTGACGGAAGGACTTGGGACAGCTCTTTGGCCGATTTTGTGATATCGCGCAGGCTGTGGTGCTTATACGCTCTGGAGTCGAGCTCGTTTTGCTTCGCGTCTTGGAGCATAAAACGCGCATCTGACCCGCGACGCCCGCCGATCCTGAAAACACCGCACACGCTCTACAAGCACTGGTTTTCATTGCAGAACTTCATCTCAAGCAGTAGGACTGGCCCTCGATGTCGACGAATCGCACACACGGACGACTCGTCCACGCACAAAAATGACATCAAAAACAATTTACGGTTGTCTGTTTATCCGGTGGTTGAGCTGAAGCCTCAGCATAAGGTACACGAGGTGTCCCAAAGCGGAGCGTGGTACGAGAACGAGCGCTGGCGGCGCCCGACAGCGCTCAACGATCGCGCTGGGCGCCGCCTCTCATGGTGAATGGCACCTTCAGGTAGATCCGAGTAGATTCAGGGCGAGTCAAGTTGTGATGTTTTTTCGTTCAAAGTCGTGTGAGTTCGACTTAACTGAGTGGCAGCGTATTTCCGTACATGGTCCTTGATCATTTTGTGATGATAATAAACCGAAACCTCGATTGCATCATTAGACTTATTAGACTCAAATGAAGGGCCAATACCACTGACAACGTTCAGACTTTCACTCGTCCTGTCCACGAAACCGGTTGCAAAACAGGTGGTGGAGCGCTCGAAGAAGTTCGTACTCCGTTTTAACGAAACCTAATGAACTTTCTAAGGACCCTTCAAACCAATCTAATGGACTTTCGCTTTTGTGATGTTTTTAGCAAAACCTAATGCCTTTGAACGAAAACTGACACCCCCTTGTGAGTCCATTAGACCCTTTTGAAACAAATTTGCTTAAAACATCACAAAAGTGAAGTGGATTGTTCACCCTGCGGGGTCCGGATGCAGTGTTTTCGCTTCAACCAATATACATGCAAGAGTAAGAAGGAGGAAGTAGCTAGTAGTGGTAGATTCTCTGACGGTTTCGGCGGAGCCAGAACAGGGCACGGTCATGACATCAACGCACTCTCCTCCCCCCAGAACCCAAAGACTTTGATTTCTGATCTGGCTCTTCTACGTCCAGCCCTAGCACTCGGTGAGCATCTGGTCGACCTGCTCGAGCGACAAGCCCTTGGTCTCCGAGACCATAAAGTACGCAAACGTCACAGAAAGTGCGGCGGTGGACGCCCAGATGAAGAACACCTTGGGGCCCAGGTTGCTCTTCGGGGGCTGTCCGAGCATCTCTTTGGACAGCCTGACTCATTTGCTCAAAATATCACAAATTCGTTGACCACTAATGGCCAGAGCTTCAGAAAATCTGACACAGAACCGCAAGAAGTGTCCCGGTATTCTCACGCAAAGGCTGCTCGACACGGTTCGGATGATGGGACCTTCCGCTAGAGTTGTCATCGAAGAGGGCGCGATGGAGGAACAAACAGCGCTTTTCCAACGGTTTCAATCGCGGCTGGCACAGGGAAGAAATGGTTTGTTGACTTGCCATAGTCGACGCGCATTTTACAGTGTGACATGTTGGGTGCTATAGTCCGAAATGGGAAACCCGCGGCTAGCTGTAAGCATTGGATTGTTCACCAAGAATTGCACCGCTATTCCCACCCTGCTTCCGAGTTTAACGAGCGGGCAGTGAACACTGGATGCGGGAAGGACCTTTCCGATGACCGGACGTTCGGGCCGCCATCATATGACGCGGCACAACTTTGTCTTGTTGTGTTTCGGTAGATAGAGGCCTACCATGGTTCAATGGTAGACACTATCAACACGAGCAAACAAAACTACGCCAAAGGACCGAATAAGGCAATTTCACGGAATCAATGCCCTGCATTTCGGGCGAGCGTGGTGTGATTGAGCATACGAAAGGCGCCAATTGACTGTACAGTTCTCAGTCTGCATTTCTGCGTCGTATGTCAATGCACGAGCCATAGTAGTAGGATATACACTAAATGAAATGGATGTAGCCATGTGCACCTTTTGATATTTCCACGAACATAGCCCCGGCTGGCTGGGTGAAATCTGAAGCCTCTGGCCCTTCATTGCCGGCTTTACCGGCAGAAAAAAAATTGGGGTTTTTGACCTGAAATCTTCCCAAAATGGACCTATTTGGTGGGGTACCTTTTTTGCTCCCATCAGTGCCCATCAGTAAGTACTCGGCCGGTATCAAGGCCTGTTACGTTGCCAATCTTTGGTCCATTGGCTGCTTCGAGATCTTTGACGTGATGACATGTCTTCGCACAAGGTGTCCCCAAGCAAAGTCAGGTCCCGTTGCGGGCCTTCCGCACCATTTCATAATTTCGAGTAAATCAAGTCTAAAATATATTTCCCTCTATACCATCTTACTACCGAGACATGCCCGCCACTAATTAGCACAATCAATAGTCCAAAGAGCGATAAGTCTCCTCGACGTCAAGAGCTTACGTAAACCTGCGCCAGCGCTTCCAAGTCCATATCCTCACGATCATTTTTCCCCTTCCGTTTGTGCCTCAATAGGATAGCGGTAGTGCGTTGCGGCTCGTTAGGCCTTCTCATCTTAAAAACCCCGCGACGACGCCCGTTCGATTCGGGCTTGAGGCTTTTCCTGAATCTCGCCTTCCTTTTTACTTGCTCTTTTTATTAAGATTTTTATTCAAAGGTCAAAACAACGCCGCATGATTTTTTCCCTCTTTCTCAATAGCAAACAACCCCGCACTAATAAATACATTGTACCAAAGAACTAAGTAACAAGATGAGTGTAAAGTCCGTCCAGCATCCATGCGACGTCGTGAACTGCATCATCCCACAATTAAGGTTCCCCAGGGGTAAAGGTAGAGGTACGGTGGGGCTAACCTCTACCTCTACCTCCAAAACCTCTGACCTCTAGGAGGTATACCTCTACCTTACCTCCCAAACCTTGGAGGTATACCTCTAATACCTGTCTCCCAACCTTCAGAGGTCTACCTTGAAAGGTCCTCAGCCATTCTTGCATAAATGTTGATTGATATTCATCAGAAATATTTTCTTTGCTGTTTGCAGTCTAAACAAATCTCTTTTGAGACTCTAATGTACTGAGAAGAAGTTAATTGGCTTAAACCAAAAAGCTTACTGACCTCAACAAAAGGTCATATGGTTTGACAACTGTAAAAATTGAAAGGATACTAGGTGCTATTACAAATCAATCACAAATATATAATCTGAGGTTGCTCCATGACCAGAAAATTTGCATTTCAACCTCAAAAAAGTAAGCTGGGACCACAGATTGGCCATACCTTTTGGTACCTCCAGACCTGTCAAGGTATGCCAAAGGTTTGGGAGGTTTCAAAATGTCTTGACCTCTACCCCTACCTCCTTGTACCTTACCTCTGACATTGGGAGGTATACCTCCACCCCTGGGGATCCTTACCCACAATTTGCGATTCGCTGCAAACCACTCTTCTCCTCCTTCGCGCGCGCTTCTTCTGCCTGCCGGCCCCAGAAATAGAGACTCGCCGCCAGATTCAAGACCCCATTCACCCCAGGACAATGTAAGCCTCCCCAATCATCCCCGTACTCGCCGCCTATCTCCCAATGTCCGTCCACCCATGCTTGCGCCACTCTGGCTGAAGACCGTCCCACCAACTCTTCCACGCCGCAGGGTATGACGCAAATTTTTTGATGACCGGCACTTTCTTCGATTTGCTTCCCCGCCACCCTTCACCCAGTCATGCAAAACATCTGGTCGCCCGGCCGTCGGAAGCGTCCCTTTCGCATCCGTGTCAAAGCCGTGCGCCTCCTCCACGCGTATAACTGCCTTGAGCACTGCTTTGAAGCTCCCACCCAAGGGGACAGCGGCGAGGTTCCCCACAGCGTCCTTCAGCCACTTCGGCGCGCCGTCTGGGAAACTGGGAAGTGTCTCCACGACAGCCTCGGACGCGAGTCTGCCTGGCCATTGGGACGATTGTGCTGACGCCGCGGGTGTCGAAGTCGGAGGTCGGGCAGGAGGTGCCGAGGCGGGAGGCTGCGCGGAGGCAATGGTCCCCGGCGCGGGACGCGGCACAGAAGCGCCTGACACGGCGGGTGTCGAGGTAGGAGGCAGCGCGGGACCAGGGATCGCCGGCGCTGCGGGTGTCGGCGCGGGACGCAGCGCAGAAGCGCCTGGCGCGGTGGGTGTCGAGGTAGGAGGCGGCGCGGGACCAGGGATCGCCGGCGCTGCGGGTGTCGGCGTGGGACGCAACGCAGAAGCGCCTGGCACGGCGGGTGTCGAGGTAGGAGGCGGCGCGGAATCAGCTGCGGGTGTCGACACGGAACTCAGTGGAAGGGCCTGGCACGGCGGGTGTCGAGGTGGGAGGCGGCGCGGAATCAGCTGCGGGTGTCGACACGGGACTCAGTGTGGAAGGGCCTGGCGCGGCGGGTGTCGAGGTGGGAGGCGGCACGGAATCAGGAAACGCCGGCGCTGCGGGTGTCGAGGTAGGTGGGGGGGCAGAAACGGGGTTCTTGGGCGCGGCGTTTTTTGGGGGTGGGGCGCGCTTTGGACTTCGCCACCTTGCGCTTATCCACCTTGGCCAAGGGCCGCGCCCCCCCGCACCCGACAGCTTCGCCTTCTTCGCCACCCTATCGTCCCCAGAATCCTTTGACTTCGACTTGCGTTTCTTTTCACTCCCTCGTCGGACTCTAATTCTGTTTCCGGGTCGGAGTTTTCTGAGTCACCGAACTCAGAATCGGAATCTGAGCCCGTGTCGTCGCCGTGAGTAGCATGAGCGGGGATTTGGCGGACGTGCCCCCAGGTGTTGCGCCCGACGGTGTGGTCGTATTCTGGAGACGTCCCGACCTGCGCGGCGTTGCTGGGGGCTCCGCCTCTTTGGTCTTTGAGGGTGTCGAGATCTTCGCCTTTTTAGCGGGCGCCGTTTTAACTGGACGCTTCCCATCCGCCGCCTTGCGTTTGACTGCGGTCTTCCCCTTCTTCGCCACACCCTTCTCCTTTGACTTTCTGCTTTGTCCGCATTAGCCTTGCGCTTCTTACGAGCCGGGGCTTCGGTCTCTGAATCGGAGGCGGAGGAGTCGGAGGAATCGGAGGAGTCCGAGTCTGAGTCCGACCCAGGATCTCCGTCGTCATCTTGGGTATGGTATACTTGGCGCCGTCGAGGCCGTGGGTAGTGCTGCTTTTTTCATATCGTCCGCGTCTAAAATCAATTGCATTAGTACTACGCCCGCCTTAGCTTCT